GCAGGCGCCTGCCCTCGGCCGGGGGCTGCGCCGCGGCGTTGGGAAGCGAGATGCGGGCTCGGGAGGGAGTCGGCCACGAAGGCCGGCCACATCAAAGGCCTAGGGATCCCTGGCCCCCGCATCCCTGGCCCCCGCCTCTGCAAACCTCGTTCTGCAGGGTGCCATGGCCCCCTAAACCCACCTTTTGTCCTGAGGGGTTACGACCTGGGGAGGACTGGGCTCGCTGCGAGTTGCTTACTTTTAATTATAAAGGCTTGACATGAAATGCTGAGTAAGCACTCTTCGCTACCACACTTTAACACTGTGGTCAAGTACGCACACGCTGAGTTATAATAATGATGCTTAATTAAGTGTACGCTTAATTTGGGAGGAGGAGAAAGGTGTGTCCTTTCTCCCGATGGGAGAGAAGCCGTGGTGCTGCAGGGGCTCCCTGGCTGCAGAACACTGCCATTCATGCATTCATTACACAGCACTGCCAGGGAAGTCGGGACCAGCATCACAACAGAACCTTAAATGTTTCCTCTGGAACAGAAGCCTAACTCCAGACAATGCATCAAAATGTAAAGGTGAAATAAAAGGGGCATAGATACAGGATAAAGTATCCTGTATGTATAGCTTTCCAAAACAGCCTAAGTTTCTGTCTGGAAACTTTGAGTAGATTCTCAAAATTTTTGCCTGGTGCAGGATTTCTTACATGCTGCTTAAAATACTCCAGGTACAGTGTGGTTGAAAGGAGATGAAAAGACTGAGCTGAGCACTCAGAAGACTTGTACATATCCATAGTGTGCACTCAGTTCAGCCATATGGCATGGATGCAACAAAACCTGCTTTGGATGGTGTCAAGCTTTCTTATTGCATACATGTATTTGTGACTGAGAAAAATGTATGCTACCTATATCCCCTAGTGGGAATATGGTGTACCCAGATACTGGGGCATAAGGAAGCGCAGCATTTAGTGAAAGGATGGTACAGTAGCCAAGAGGCACACCTTCACCTGCTGAATGTTTTGACACAGTAGTCAAACAGAACTTAGGGGAATGTAATGTTATTTAGAACCCTGTAAGTAATGATTTGGTTTTTACCAGGAGGAATGAATTTGTTTGCCTTCAGTTGCAATATGTTTGTTTTTTTTCCAGAGCTGGGATCATGGCTGTTGACTGGATTGGTTTTGCATATGCTTCATTGCTGGTGTTTGGAGGTGTTGTAGCATACACTCGTAAAGGTTAGTACTGGGATAGAAGGATTTGGAATCAAGTATTTGATTTCTTCTGTGCAGTTTGAGACATGAAAACTTTGCTGTAATTAACACTGCTGCATTTGATATCCATCATGTGCTGCTGTAAATGCACTGAGTCTCATGAGATGTTCTTGGGCCAGCTTAAGCATTTTAAGTGAGTTTGTTTTCAGGGCAAAGCGTGGGGGTTGTTATGTTGTCTTTGACCTTAAATGCGTTTTGGGCTTTCTCATCTCCTTTTAATCATTCCTATGTTTAGCACAGTATGTCCTTGATTAAAGCTTATTATCTACAGAGAAATCCAAGCTTGATTCTGACATTTCCAGATGCACGGTGGGAAAAACCCCTTTACTTGTATGCTCTAAGTTGGTGGTTAATTCTCTGGTAATGTTAGAATTGTGCCTTTTCACATTAAGATAACGAGTCAGGTAGTAGGTGGCGGTGTGCCACAAGGCTCCGGTGTTCCCGGGATTTTTGCAGTCCCGGGGGGGCAGCGCCTGGCCCAGCCCCGCGCCCGGCAGAGGTCGCAGCCGTACCGAGGACGAGCAGGCGGGAGCTGCAGGCGGCTCTCCGCAGAGCCCCATCGGGCTCCGACCCTGCTCCCTTGGTTTAGGGTCACCGTCTCCCTTCCCGCTGTCCACATGCTTTGCTCTCGGAGACACGGCTTCACATCTGAATTTCTGAAATTTCTGAAGCTCTTGTGTTTTTTTGTTTGCAGCCAGCTGCACTCACTGACTATCCCATTCACCTGTCCTCCTCATTCTTTAATACTTGGTCAATCCTCATGGCAAATCTAGATTATTTTTTATTGGTTATGATTTACATTTTCTTGCAAAGTCTTGATTTAAAAATACCCAAAATAAAAGGATTGGGAGCTAAATGACATCGGGGGTCTGGGTTCTTTATTTATAAACATCTGTGGATCAGCTTAATTCAAAGAATGTCTGCTGTGCAGATTCTACACTTTTATCATATGGAACCAAGACAAATGTCTGTTCAGAAATCTAAATATATTAGGGATGTATCTGGGTTTATGAACCAGTTTTTTAATAGCACAAGTGCCAGAAGATGCCAAGTTACTTTTAGAACTTGTTTTCATCCCCATTGCCATTTATTTGTTTTTTCATTCTTTATTCATTAAGTGTGATGTTGGTGATAGCATTCCTTTCTCCAGGACTGATATCAGACTGAAAGGCCTGACACTATTACCACACATGTTTTCCAGTTTATATATATTGACACATTTCTACCATTCTACCATTTTTGGAGACTCCCAAGTGCTGTAAGATATAGTTAAAATGAACAGACAGTTCAAAGAAATTACAAAAATCTTTCTTAAGTATGATAGAGAAAATAGCCAAATTTAGGATTGTATTTTTCCCAAGTTGCAAGTGTTAGTGGAACCTGATCATCTCCCTCTAACTTAGTTGATTTTGCTCCTAATGCCACACATTAGAATGACCCAGTTATAGAAATATTACCTCTCTATTCACACTGGGTGAGGTAAGCTGGAATGTGGCAAAATCAGTTATATTTTTAATACATTTGGATAATACTGTGTAGAGAGACAACTGCCTTATAGAGGTTGAGCTTCAAGACATTGTATTGAGAAATAACACGTGAATGATTTCTTGCAGGTAGTAAAATCTCTTTAGCTGCTGGACTCACCTTTGGCTCAGTGGCTGGTTATGGAGCTTACTGTGTAACATGTGATCCGAGAAATGTGAAGATATCATTGTGTAAGTGTTTCACTACAGTAAACAAACAAACAAAAAAGCAGCATCCTGAAGCATTTTACTGCATGTAAAATTCTCTTTTTAGTAAATTTTGGGTATTGCTTTGGTTTAATTGTTGGGTTTTAAATAGAGTTCAACACTTCAGCTTAGCTTCAGCAGCCATTTACAAGGTAAGGCAGATCATTGACATAAAACCAGCAGGTGTGTTTTAGCACCTGGCAGCACCTCCTTTTATGAGATGGTTGCCTAACATTGCCTAATATTGTGAAATCCAGCTGAGAAACAGGAAGTAGTACTGCAATAAAATCATTAGCGTTACAGATTAGAATTTTGCAATTTGAGCAGTAAAGTGCTGCATAATGTAATGTATCCTCACCTTCCAGTGAATGGTACAGTTTGACCTAGTGTTGACTTAGTGTTTTTCCTTTGCTGCTAAGAAAGACAGGATACAAACTATGCAATAATTGTCATGGTAGCTAGTTTTCTGTGAAACCCTCATGGAGGCAAAATATGACAATCCCTAAGGGGGACATCAACCTAGCACAAGGGATTTTCAGTAAGAGCTTTTGGGAGTTTGTCTCAGTCATGGTTTCAGGAAAAGTGGTTTAGGCTGTGGTCTCACATGCAGAAATGCATTTAAAATACGTTTAATCCAGATTGTGGGAGTACACAATTGTTTTTTCTCAACTTAGAATTCATGGTATATTGTTAATTCTGGCTTTATGCTTGCACCAATCACAGTTATAAAAACTTCCATTTAAAAAAAATGTTGAACAGCATTGACAGCAAAGTGTTCCCAGCAAGTTCTTCAGTACAGGTGGTAATTGTGGACCTGATCTGCTCCTAGATGGCCTTAAATTGGATTTCCAGTTTAGCCACCATGATCTTGTTCAGATTATGTTATCCCACTGTTTTAAAAAAACCCAAAACTTTTAGGAATGAGACATCTAGGAATGAAGACATTCCTAAATGTCTTAAGTATATGTAAATTTATAATCATTAATGTGAGATGATTTTAAGTAACGTATGGTATTAGGGTCAATTAAGTCACTAAATTAGATACAGTATTTATGGAAAAGAAGACTCATAACAACTTAATCTATGTTGCCTGTTTCCCAATTCCCAAGTTTTTAAGGGACTAATATAAAATTTTCCATTACTGTCCTTTTGAATGTCTGATACCTAAAACAGTCAGTGTTTTACATTTCATGTAGTTGTAGGCATGTGAGGACTTTCTCAAGTGGAGAAATGTATATTACTTACTTAGCAGAAGTTACAGCCATGAGATGAGATGCAGTTCACTACACCTGCCTTGGAAAGTTCTTCTTACATAAAGTTAAAGGAACAAAAACTTTTTAAAACAGTCTTAGTTTAGAATGTTTACAAAGAAATGTTTTAATTGCTTTTTATTATAAATGGGTATTGTTTTTGTGGAAAACTAGAATGTTTTCACTTACGCCCTACGTGCCAAAATGTGAAAAGCAGCTAGAGCACAAAAGAAAGATCAAAATTAAGTGCATGGAAGAAAGTGACTTAGAAACTGGACTTACAAACTACTACAGTAAATTATAATGTAAAATAAAGCAAGCACCCAAAGCTTTAAAAGGTTAGGAAATCTAAAAACAACATATCCATCCAAACCATAATTATTGACAGTATTTGTCACCCATGCAAGACTCTCCTACAGTAACTTAGATAATATTTTATTACAAGACTTTGATAGTAAGGTTGCTGTAACTTGTCCTACATACAAAGAGTATGTAGCCTATGGGTACCCCACGCAAATTCTCTTAGTTGTTCTATAAATTATTATTTCAGGAATTTTCCTGCTTCACCTGAAATAAGCTCTGTGCTTTCTTGGATACATAAATGCGTTTTTATGTGTTTGAAGTAGACGTAGAAATTCAAATCTCAGTATTCAAGAGTTAGTAGCATTCACAATGCAAGTTGTTTCTGATCTGAATATGACTCACTGGATTGAATTTGTCTTGATTTATTGAATTTCTTTGGTTTAAGATGAAAGAGTAAATGTATAGCACTTTCTAAAATCTGTTCTAAAAGTTGAATGTGTTAAAAAGTCTCTGGACTTTTTAAAAGCCAGATAGTAGCAAATGGAAAAAAAAAAACCAAACAACCAAAACTTACATAGTGAATATGCTTTGTAGCTTATAATAAACTGAAAATATACTCAGGGCTCTGGCAAGACACATTCTGTGGAATAGTTCACTCTTGAGACATTCCTGAGAGGATCAAGGCTATGTAACTAGAAAATAAGAGCAATGGATAATGGAGCATAATATTTTTTTTGCAAGGCATTTTTAATGAGTGCATGTAGTTGGTAGAGTTCTTTAAGATACTTGTAACTGCCAGGGCGTGTTTGTAATGCTGAAGTGAGTTTAAAACTAATTTTTGACACCTATGAACACAGGACTGGCCCCAGGACTAGACAGTGGAATTTGAAGAGAATTAGCCAGATGGTTTAACTGCTCCATAAAAAGGGAACAGTTCTGTGTAACTGCTATTACTTTGGCTGTGAGAGTGACAAAGCCCAGCTGCTCATGAGAAGTCCTGCCTCTCTGCCCACTTCTAGGAAGCATTTCAAGTGACAGTTCTTTAATTAAGGTAGCTATCTTTTTCATTTTATGTGTTCTCCTCATTTATGTAGCAATCTACAGCCATAGTTCAAAGTGAAAGCCCTGTGCCTGATGAGTTCATTGCCACCTCCATTTTCAGATGACTACTCCCAAGAAAAAAATGAAGTTTCTTTCATGATGTTTGTTCTCTGCTGCTTGTGCTGCATTTATTGCCCCATTGGGCTGCCCACCTCTTGTCAGAGGCAAGGATGGTTCCCTTGTAGCAAAGGCTCCAAAGGAATTGAAGTCATTGTAGTCACGAAGAATGAGATGTTGATAGCCATATTCTGTAGCAAAAACCGGTGGCAAACTTTCCAATATAGTTTTTAAGGTTCAGCAAATAAAAATCTAATATTCTAAAAATAGAACAGAAAATAAATTGAGCTCTAGCTCCTTGAATAGTTAGAAAACAGCTGCAATGAATCTAGGCTGAAGAGATTTATGAGACACTGTTCCTGTAATTCAGTATACATGTTGCTGCTATGGCCAAGATTCTTCCTACTTTGCTGGTATCCCCATCAATTTAGATATGGGTGAGTAGAATTGACTGATCTTACCTAGTCTTCATGGCATAGGATTTATCATTCTGCTGCACATGAAAACTTTATTTGCAGCTAAAAGAAATCATAATGGTGTATTTTGGAAAAGCAAGAATGTTTTTATACTCTTATTTCTGATCTAATGTTTTACCAAATTGCAGTTCATAAGAAAACAGCAATGACCTTTGATAACTCTGTGTGTTCCTGAGTGGTCCACTGAGAAAAGTGAGAATATAAATATACTGGATTGTCTTTTACAGTTTCATCTTTTCTTTTGACCATTATAATGGGAATGAGGTTCAAGAGGTCCAAGAAATTAATGCCAGCTGGACTAGTAGCATTCCTGAGGTAACTACATATTATGGATCTTAATGTGAAGATTTCACTGGTTTTCAAATAGTTGCCATTTCACACCCAATTCAAGGCAGTATTGGTGGAAGTCACTGTCATTCAGTAACTATACACCTTAAGTGAAATTAGTTTGGAAGTCACAGTCCTGTTTCCAGTGAACAGCTTTTTCATCCTACTAGCCAGATACAGGTGATGAGAAGTGACTTTCTCAGCACAGGAGAGGTCAGCAATTAAATATTAATGCATATTGATAAGGCCTTTGAACCTAGATAAGCCTTAGTGTTTTCAAACACATACACATAAAATTAGTCTAATTTCATACAACACAGTCACCTTAAAAAAAAAAAAAGGCTAACACTTTGGTTTAGAAGTGCTGCATTCAAAACTACTGGAAGCACAGTACTGTTGAAAACCAGGACATTTTCGACCTGACCTAAGAACTTTGATCAGTATTAATGCAATTAATATTAATTAATTTAATTAGTTAACTGTTGTTTCATTGTTACCAGATTTAATATACCACTATTCTGTTTTACTTCAGTTACATACAGGGAGGAAAAGAAGCAAATATGTCAAGATGCAAAATTTAAGAATCAGGATTTACACTGGAAAATGTTGTTGTCCATTGTGGATTGCTTTTCCAGCCTAGGTGGGCTTTGTTTTGCAAGACACTGAAACTGTAGATTTAGATACCTGAAAAGACAGCTTAATAGAGACTCTAGTGTCAGTTATTTATGATTGCACTGTTATTTAATTATGACTTTCACTGATTTTATTAATGACAAACATATTTATGTTTTCTTGTTTTGGGTTTTTTTTTCAGCCTTTTGATGATTTTGAGGCTTGTTTTTATGCTGCTGTAGGAGAATTTGGAACCGAATATGACTGCCATGCCCACCAAACAGACATGCTCTCCATACTTGAAAGACAAGTTTGAACACAAGTCTTATACTGCATTTATATAATCTGTAAAAAATCTGTACCTGTTATTTGATTATTGACATGTGCTGATATTTTGAAAGCTTTTTTTAAAAATTAGAGCAAGTGTTTTGTTGGTATATTTTTATCTACTTTCATTTAAGCAGTCTATTAATTCATGGGATCTTTCTTTGGTAGTTTGATCTCTTTTAGGGGTGCAGAGCACCCTAAGAAATTGAATTACTCTTGCACTGTATTTCTGAAATAATATCTATAAATATATGTTTATGCTAAAAAGGTATCTTGAATTAAAGTATAATTTTGTAGTTTCTGAGATTAAATAATCAGTTCTAAATCAAGAAAGTCTTTGGCCTGTATTGTGTTGCACTAGAAAACCAACGTCCTTTCCAACACACATTCTTGTTCCCCTGGTTCTCAATATAAAAAATCAGTGTTCAAATAAAATGTTAAATGTTCAGTGCTTGTCAGTTTTTTAAGCAAACGAGTGAGACATTTTGTCAATGGAAGAGTTTGGTGCTTTGTACTCAGTAGTGGTTTAACACATGTACCATACTGTAAATTGGCAGTAATGAACTTCATGGCTGAAGTTCATCATGCTGTGGAACAGAGAGGTTCCAAGCTGCATGGCTGAAGTTCATCATGCTGTGGAACAGAGAGGTTCCAAGCTGTTAGTACTCTGGAACAGGTTTGCCATTCCAGTGTCACAGGGATTATCTTGCTGAAGTCCCCCCCATAAACAGAAGAGGCTGTTCAGACATAAACTGTTCAGGGATTGAAGGTGCTTTCATTTGTGTACAAAATAAATACTCCCAGGATCTCAAAGCTTGGCTAAGACTGTCTTCTGGTGTACAGGGAATATAAGCAAAATTATTAGGAAGCAGTAGGGGTGAAGACAAGCAGAATGGGTATGTTTGAAGACAAACAGCAATGTTGCTGCTTTTCATTTTTTTTCTTACAAAGGTTGCTTATGAAGGTTATCATGTGTCATGATACCACCTTTGTGATGATTCCTAAATCACAGCATTAGTTTGGAAGAGAGGAATAGTGAAATGAGTACTGTGCTGGGCATGGCAAAGCCCTGCTTCCAGCTACTGAGGTAATTTTAACGTAAACCTGTTCGGAAGTCAGCAGTGCCCAGGTGACTGGGGCACTTGTGGTTTGTACCTCTGAGGTGCACATGGCTCTTCTTAGGCTCTAGTCAGGAAAGGAGGTAACTGCTAGGCAGCAATTCTTCATGTACACTTGCTGACTGCCTAATCAGCTGGAGTCCTACTGAGGAGAAACAACTAAGTGCAAAGAAGGATGGTTTATGGCAGTGTTCTTAAAGGGAACAGTGATGGTTCCCTGTTGGAGTCTGAAACACAAAGTGTGTGCCCTTGTTTCGAGTTTTCTTGAGTCACTGAGTGAAAAAGTTAGTTTAAAGTTTAAGCTAATTTAGAAAGTAGAAGACAAGATGGAGGATTTAGACTGTTGTTTATTTTCCTTCTTTCTTCTTCATGTTCTTCTAGAAGTTTTTGGGTAATAGTAAGTGATTGGATAGAAAATGCCACAGTGCAGCACACAGGTGATGGGTCATTGGGTTATTAAGAAAAATAATATATGTGTCTCTTGTAAATTGGATAAGAATGAGTATAAAGATAAAAGAACTGCGTAGCACAAGGCCATTTTGTACCATCAGAAAGAAATCAGCCAGGTTGCAGTGAATTGAACTTGTGCAGCAAGTCTGGAGAGACCTGCCAGATTTTGTGATAACATCCTAATAAACACAAGAAACAAGATCCTAACAGGCTTTGGAGTTTTTGTCCTGACCCAGAGAACTGTAATAAGCAGGACTTCCCATGAAAGAGTATCCCCAAGGAGCTCAGCTCAGAGGAGACTGAGAAATTCAGGAGTGAAAAGAAGTGCAGAAGAAGCACAGCAGCAGAATCAAAAGAGAAAAAAAGAAACAAGAATTTGAAGACGTTATAGTTCCCATGAAATTAGGGTAAAGAATCTGACATAATAGTCCATGCTTTAAGCATCTTGAGGTAAAACTCACTCTTACTGAAAAGGTAAGCAGCCAGTGCACTTGGCTTTATAACTGTGGGAAGTGACTGCAGAAGGTAAAACCTTACAAAATAACTGCTCAAGGGTCATTTGCCTCCCTGACCATCCAGCCCAGCAGCAAAAAGAAGAGCAAGTGAATAGGTAGGTGCTTTCAGCATATGAAAACCACAGCAGGCCAATTAAACACAAGGACTTTGATCTTTCAGTGAAAAAAATTGTTCTTAAGACATTCATGTGGGGATTAAAAAAGTTTCTTACTTCTGCCTGTAAACTTAAAAGGATCATGAATTTTAATTTTATTTTTAAAGGTTTTATTTACTTAATTTTTGAGCTGTGAAATAATAGCAGGGAGACAGTGTAGGAGACCACCTGGAGAACCAACCCAAAAGATTCTAGGCCTGACTTTAAATGACTTCTCAATTTTCACAGCGTGGCTCCTCTCTCCCGCAGTTTATAAAAAGGGGGTTGGGGATCATGTGGCTTTCTATAGTACTCCAGAAGCTACAGTTGAACATTTTACCTTCCAGGCATGCACTGTAACTGAACACACACAAAGTGTCAGCGTATTTTATTTCATATAACTGCTTCACTAAATTCTTCTTTCTGGACTAAACAGGTCCAAATTAGCCTTTTACTCTAATTTAAAAGTGTATTCACAGTGTATTGTTTCAACACTGGCCATATGATACAAGTTGCAGAGCACATCTATGCAATTTACACTTACAAAGCAAGCTCTGGTAATATACTACAGTTGGGTTATCTTCATCAGATTAGATATTGAATATTTTCCTCACAACAGCAACAAACTTATCATCTGTTGGTGGCTTCCTCTGGCTGCCAGGCTGTAAGAATTTTTTGATTGTTGGAATGTTGCTGATTCTTCCTTTAAAAGCCTGTAAGAAGCAACAGCAAAGCCAGTGAGATTAAGGAAATTATAATTCCATCCTTTATAGTTTAAAGATCAGATGACTTGGATTTTTACTTGTCAGACATTCTTAGTAAACAGAAAAAGTTAGTAGCTTTTTATGATCTGTAATGCTGTTGCTATGCATTAATTTCCCAGAGAGGAATGGGAGAAATTAATATTAAAAAGTTAAGATTCGTCTTGTAAAAAGTGAAAGAAAAAAACCCCACATCCTGTATCTCAATCCTGCAGATATGTTTGAGGGGAAAAAATTAAAAAAAAGCAAGAAGGACAGGAGTATCTCTGTGCAAAGCACTACAGAAGTCAAGGCATACTAAACTTAACTGCTCTTTGTATACAATTTCTTAAAAGTTTAATTTTGCTGGCAAAAATCAAAGGACAGGAACTGGAGACACACCAGGCCACAGACTTTCTTTCCAATGTTATTGCTGTGCTTGAAGACATGGAAGTAGCCATTAAAGGACCAAATTGGTAGCACTAGTGAGTGAATTCCTGCCAGCTGAGAACAGCTGGGAAAAGCAGAACTGAAGAAAGGTGAGTCTCCAGCAGCTCTGGGACAAGGCAGTGCACTGAGTGTAGGTTTTTGTAGTCAGTCCAGAGAAGTGTCAGTACTATGGCTCAAAAGATGCAAATATCAATTAACTTTTAACAACAGTCAGTGAAATTTGTTTGTTACCTTCCCTTCCATATTGACACCAGATGATTACTAACCTGAAGCAAAGGGAATCCAGACAGTACATCAGGCTTACATTCTTCTGCCATTAAAATGGCTTCCAGCAGATGGACATCTGCCCAGCTTAATTTGTTGCCAACAAGATAATCCTGTCCATGATCTTTTAAGGCCTATAAAGTATGAACAAATTAAAAAAAATAAATCAAATGGGATGTAAAAATTTTATCTAGGTATTTAATTGCAGAGAGATTTCTAAAAAAACACAGCAGAGCAAAGCCATGCAAGAACCTATTAAGTTAGAAAGTGATAAATATTCTTTAAAGAAAAAAAATTAAACCAGAATTCATGTTTCAGTGTGTATGATCCCATCTCTCACTCTGACCTACTGCACCAGGTAGCTGTATACCATGTACGGTACCACAAGAAAGACTTCATCACACAAAAGAAACAGGACTAAAGTAACTGGAAGAGGTAGTCAGGCCAGCTTACATGTAAGCACATCTGAAGTTTTTAAGAAAAAAGTTAAGTGAATTTCCAGATGTTTCAGCAAAATTTGAGACTGCTGATTACAGTTTGAAATATGTCCAGAATGAAGGAATATAACCTTCTCACCCTTTATCCTATAAGGAAGGGGACTCCTTTATGGCAAACTGCTGATGCAAGAATCACAGCCTGCCAAAGCCACTAACAACTGTAGTAGACAAGTTGAGATGAAGGTTGCAGCACAGCTTCAGAGCAGCTACCACCTCTCCAGCCTACCTTTGTCCTAAAGATATACCCTCCTATCAGGAGCAAGAGAAGGGTGTCTGTGCCTAAATCACACCAAGACTACTCTTAAGTAAAACGTGCAGTAAGACATCAGTCTGTCGCTCTGGAAGCCAACTGCTTCTCCAGGCCCATCTGCCAGTTCTACCATAGAGCAGCAACCATGGGCAGAGTCACAGCTGATACCTTCACGTAGTTATTTCCTACACTGCTCAAACAAGGTCCACGACAGCTTATCAGACTGGGTGGAAATTCCCAAACATAGCATTGGAATCTGCAGGGCTTTATATTGTCTTTTGCTGCTCCGTCTGGCTGCTGAGTGTTTGAAGTGAGCACTCACAGCTAGGTATGTTTCCTGTCAGCTTGCTGAATGGCTAACACATAGACTGCAAACCTTGATAAGCTGAATCAATGGACACCTTAAACAGCTGGTACAGAAAGAAAATTATTAACCATTTTAACAAAATTAACTAGGCTAAAATCATGGAAAAGTTCAGCTGTGTGTTTTCCATAACCAAACAAGGATTACTTAAAGACTCTCCTACATGGGGCATACATATTAAAACATATCACAACAGTAATTTATGCCACCTAGGCACAGGCCCAGAGAATTTTGGTGCATTTTTTAATTGTTTAATATCTTAAAATACATATCAGACTTCTAATCTTTGAAAGATTAGTGTGTGTAATCAATACCTCTCAGCACAGCCCTCCATTGATATGGCAGTGGATATATATGAACTCTGATTACAGAAGTGCTGGATTATGTAATTTACATCATTATTTTAAAGGGCAGCCTCTGTGGATTTTGTTTGTGCAATTTAAGGCTCTAATAAAGTGGGACATGAAATTGCATCAAGTTCTATGTTTTTTTTAATGGACTTCAGCTGCCTGGTAACCAAGTATTCAAGCTGGAAACCCAGCTGAGCTCTGAAACAACACAGCTTTGTACCCTTGGCAGATGTCTGAAGAGACCACTATGCCCTGAAAAAGCACTAGTAGAAAGTCTGCACAGCACAACCACACGTGGTACAAAAGGAAAAGTTAC